GAAACAACCTTTGAGAGATTTTGCAACAAACCTAACTTTCTCGATTCTTAACGGATTTGAGCACTTTTTAGTTCCATTCCACTCGGATTTTTACCCTCTATTCGATTTTATCACTCACATTCTTGATCTACAAGGTATGTGTCCACAAAAACCTAATTTCAGTTCCGAAACCAAGGTTTGATTTTCGATTTTCATCTATTTTCACTCGTTTATATTGTGAAATCCGGCCTATTTAGGTTGTTTTTGAGTGGAATCGACATACCCATGTGCTTAATTTGCGATATTTGACAAGTTTTTAGGATTAGTCAAAGGTTATGAATTTTGTGATGAAAATTTGGTGAAATTTGGATTTTGGAACGAATTAGGTTGCAATTGGTGATAGATTGTTTGTGTTGAGAGGATTGTGGTTGAATGTTGTGGATTGATTGTGGTTAAATGTTGAGAAATCGCCGAATTCGGAATTGACTGATGTCGTGTCGATCGTTATAGCCTATTTGTGTCGATCGACACGGGATTCCAGAAGGCAGAAACTCGACTAATTTCAGATTTTTGGGGTGTTTTATTGTGTGATTGTTTTCCAGATGGCTTCTTCTCAACCTAGGAACAAGAGAGCACGTCAGAACAGGGAAACAACATCGGGTTCTCGACAAGCTCAACCGATATCCCGTTCTCCATGGCCAAGAAACGAAGGAGAATAGTTTGCTATCACGAGGGTTTGGGAGGATACTCCTTCGGTGATATTGGTTCGTCCAGACGTGGTGAACAGGGCGATCAGTGATGATTGGGATGATTATGACTCCTTGTTGTACAATGAGTGGTTGAAGGTGAAGTTAGGATTGACACGCGTTTCCCATCCTCGTACGATGAGTGGTTTGGGTCTCAAGGAGGAGGTGAAGCGCTTATTGAGTAATGCAGGATTGGGGACCATAGCAACCGTGCGGTATCCGTTGTATCCTGATTTAGTTTGCCAGTTCTTCGCATCGGTTAAAGTGTACTGCAATGCACCTGGTTGATCCATCAATAGAAATAACACGGGGAGTTGGATTTTGAGCTTCATGATTCGCGGGATTCGATATAGAGTGTTGTTAGTGCAGAAGAATCCGCTAAAGCAGCAGGATCAGCGAAGCAGTGAAGAGTTCGTGTGCTACACAAAAACTGAAAGGAATAATCAGCAAACGAAGGAGAAAAGTATTCGTGTGACTAGGCACGCCAGGTGGCACCTCGAGTTGGGAACCACACTACTAGGAAGCGTATGCGGGAAGTCGAGTTCGGGAAACAAGAAGTTCTGACACAAGTGCACAAAGTCAATGTGCAAGTGGGTTTACTTACTGTTGAGAAAAGATTGATGGGACTGGTGGTCTGACATCAATAGGAGCAGTTCTGTTGCCCTTTCAGATTCAGGGGGAACTGCTTTTAGGGCTATATGAGTTGCTGGTTGCTACTACTATAAAAAGAGGGGGGAATAGTTCATATGCAGACTAGTTCTTTCGAAATAGGTCTTTGAAGAACTCAGAAACAGTGTGAGCTATTTGATCTGTTGTGTTGAGTGAAAGAGATAGGTTTCGTAACTGTTGTTACGTTACATTGGGTAAATTCGAAACACGTTCGGGAGTGAATCACGATGTGTGTGATGTCGCGTAACTTTGGGTAGAATAGGTTGTAGGATCTGTTCTACATAAGTGTTTGAGTAATCTATCTGTTGCAACAGCTGTGTCATGTATCAATTGTTGTGCCCTACAGGGAAAGCAATAAAGACTGACTATTTTTATTGGAAACTATCTATCTCTTGTTCATATCTCGGTTCAAGTATCTTGTACAAATGTTCCTGCTTTTTCAT